TACTGTATGTTGTAACTCTGTGACCACTGCAAATTACCAATTTAATCGCCGTTTAATCGTTTAGTCGTCGTCATTGTAGACGATGGAAAAATTGGACCAGAGAAAGATCCGTATCGTGTGCCAATTAGGAAATTGGCCAGCGTCGATGAAATAACGATGTTTCATGGGTGTATAATCGCAGAATTGACCGAGGGCTCACCTTCGATGATCAACTTGGAACCTTAATCGAATGACCCTCTCTTGGTCCTCAAATGGAGCAACACTTTGGTCGAATTGGCATCCGCAATTTGTTCCTCGCTTCCGCAGAACTTCCAATATGAAGAGGGTCCTATGATTATCACTTGACTGTTACTTCAAATGCCTGTATGCATGATATTAACATTTTTTTACATGTGATTATATTTCTAACAGATATCGATTACTAAAGTTTAAAAATATCAACGTTACAGTCACAGTTACTTATAATATCCAATAACGCAGAAACGAAATTCGCAATAGAAACATACGATGCAAATTAGACTTTCAGAAGGAAAGAACTTCCTTCTGAAGAGCCTCTCTGAAACGATTGGAAAGAAGTTTAAAAAAATTTTTTTACGCAAGCAGTCCCGTCCGGACTACGAATACGAATGCGTACATTTTCTCGAATGAATCTCCACAAACGATCAAAGCAAAATGAATGGTTTGTTAAATTTTATGCGCATGACTAATACTAAGTAACTGTCGTTACGCGAATACTTATCGTTACATGAGTAGGGGGCCAAGGTCCTCCTCGTTACCCATGTCCCGCTTTACGCCCTGCCGTGCATCGTGATTATTAGAACGATTTGCATCGTGTTCATCCGAATGTTTATGCAACAATGTTGCCTATATCTTCCTTCCCTGTTAACGTGCTTAACGTGAAAATATGTTAAACGAAATATGTTTGCGTGTCAAATATATTTTGCTGAAGTTGTGAAATTGTAATCCTTAGACAAATCGTTTTCATAAGTAATAATGTTTAGGATATATGTAGTTAGTTATCTACCGAGGAACTTCAAAATTGTATATACAAAAAAGATACTACATTTTGTTATCATTCGATATATCTATTAGAATCTGGAAATAATACAAATATAATACTTGATTATTTATTTATTTCTTTATATATATAGCAGATCATAAGTAATCGAAATGGAAGTGATTCTGTGTGAAGAAATAAAGTAATTTGGTACAAATTATTTTCGTTTTTGAGAAAATGAAGCTTGAAAATTCATAAGACGTACGTATGGTTGTGTACGATTGTAGACTCCGTTCTTGGTTTACTTTTATCCATTGAATAACTGTTGAATCAAAGTGACAGGTTTTTGCAAAATTTTTTTTTTACTGTATCACAAGTATGTGAATTCTCAAACTAGATTTCAAATCGCAGAATCTCTGATTCTGTTGTACTACTGCTTATTGTCTACTCTGTATATATATATTCAGGAATAAATAAATCAAGTACCTTCTTACACTTGCAACGATAGTTATTTGCTCTTAACAGACTTAATCGTTCTAATAGATATATCGGATGACAATAAAACAGTTTGACAACATCTTCTTGTACATACAGTTTTTAAGTCCTTAAGTAGAGCTAACTGTGCAAACAAGCAGCAGAGTTCACACTTCATTAACCTCGACCGACAAGTCGTTAAATAACAACTGAAATTTCATCCATTCTGAGAAGCTTTGATTTCATATAGAAACAGTCAATATCAAGTTTGCAATAAATACTGTATAAAAAAAAAATGTATTCCTTGAAAAATAGAATTTTTTATGTGTATATAAAAACACAAATTCAAACCTGTTCTTTCAGACACGTATGCGGAGTTATAATTTATATAAATCTGTCATAAAATCAAATATAATCGATAAAATATTAATCTTTTGCTCATCTTTGATAAGCATAAGAAAGTTGTTAATTTTAATAAACCTCTTTAACTTTTTACTCCTGACTTTTTATGTCAATGGTTCCCAATTTTTTTTACTTCACACATCCTTTCCATGATATACCAGGATGTTATTTTCCAAATATTCCAAATAAAAAATAAAAAGATCTTTTATTTCAGGAGTACCTCGTATAAATTTACTTTATTAAAAAACAATAAATTCAGTGATATTTCATATACATATAAATAATTTGTTTAAATGCTTTGTTCCAATTCTAATGAAATTTCTATCTCCTCTTCTAAAAGATTAATTTTTTTCATGTGCATTCCGATCGACTAGCGATAAGTATATATATAATAGCGACAAGTAAGTTTGAGTTTCTCCCCTTGGAACCGTGAAATTTCCTTCTAATTGGAAACCTCGGCTACCAAGGGCCGCGATCTTCAAAGTATTTTAGAGCCCGGCCTGAGTTGATAAATGGTGTACAAGGAGGAGGCAAGGCCTCGCGAAGGCCAATAAAAAATCAATTCCATCCTCGTTATTTGTAATCCAGGGCTCGACGAGCCGTAGGCGCAGGTACATATCGAGTTACAAAACTCAACGAGATGCCGATGAAAGTATCGGGCTCCAACTCTAGTTGTACGTA